AAAATAAGTTCCCTAAATCTACGAGTGGTGTTCTTAGAAGAAGGAGGACATTTGGACACAGTCTTTGTAGAAGGCCATGTGAGGACAGACGCAGAGACTGGAGTGCTGGCTCTACAAGCCAAGGAATATCAAGGGTTGCCAGCAACCAGTAGAAGCTGGAAGAGACAAGGAAGGATCCACCCTTGAAGCCTTCAGAAAAGGCGTGGCCCTGCCAACTTGAGTTAGGACGACTGTACTGCAGAACTGTTAAATAATAAATTTCTGTTGTTTTAAGCAACCCAGTTTGTGGTGCTTTGTGATGGTAGCCCTAGGAAATGACTATGAACATGATATGTGCTTAGTAGCATGAGAAGTGCTAGAGGAATCATCATTTTGTATTACCTAGGCCATGTCTCTAGAATGCCAACATATGCAGATGAAAGGGGGGAATATCACTTGGTTTCGGAGTTATTTAAAAATTGGCAAAGACAGGGACTATTGCTACAAAAGGAAAAGATTATCTTGCCAGTTGATCAATGTTCTTACTTCTCATTGGTCTCCAAATGAAACAATTCAGGAAGTTTACTGTCTTCCATGAGATCCAATTCTATTCTATTTGGACCAAACTTCATGTTTTCCTGGTAGTTGGTTGGCTGAAAAGAGTGTTTCTAAAACTTCTCGGAGTGATTCTGATCTGATTCATTGGACTACCAATGCATTAGAATTTCCAGGGAATCTAGTTGTTAAACTAGCACTGGGTGAATATCAAAAGCAAATTTTAATCAATGATTTAAATATCCCAGACTTGTATAACCAAAGATTACCCGCAGAAGATAAAATATATTTTGATGCATTTCTGTCTAATTTCCAGGTTATTCTTGTATCCAACAAACATGTATTGAGCACTTACTATATGTCAGGCTAACTGGACTCGGAGGAGCAGGGACGCGGAGTGAGTAAGTAAACCAGCATTTGAATCTTGATTCCACCACATGCTAGTGGCATGGTCTAGAACAAGTGATTCAATCTTGCTTTTTTATCTTTAAATTGAAATATTGTGAAACATAATATAAATGCAAGATATTGTAACGAGAAAACTGGATGTGTGCACAGAGGATTTTGAGAGCAAGCCTAATGACACTAAAGGAAAAACAAGAAATATCAGAGATGGAAAACTAAGAAGTCAGTGTATTTTTTATTTTTTCTGAATGAAAAGTAGACTTCGAGCAAACAACACTTCAAATATTCTTTGTTCAGAAATAAGAAAGGTCTGGGGAAGATTTGTCCATGAGGAGCATTGGCTGTCAGTAAGATAAATGAGAGGCTGGTCCTCTGAACCAGCTACAATGATAAATGCATATTCCTGAGGAGATACTCAACTTCTTCATAACTAGAAACTAAATCATATACAGTTTTTAAGAATATGGAAACAATAAATTTTAGAAATAATCCTTACTTGCTGAAATAATATAGTATGTAAGAAGCAAGAGCGAAAAAAACACAAGAAGGGAAACACCAGATCAATCACCTAAAATCAAACATACATTTATCTTTCAGACTGAGAAATAAAAACCAAGCAAGATGGCCAGAATATCCCATTTTTGTCATCAAATGATAAACAACATGGAAAGCTCTGAATTATATAGTTGAAATTGTGACCACCACAAAGTAAAAATATTGACAGTTTGAAAAATAACAGTTCTGCATCTATTTTTTTCTCTCCCTGGGGATAACATCAGCTGATGTGAATGCAGACCCATGAGCCACAAAATACCTACAATATTCAGTTCTAGATCTAGTTTATGTGATCTTTGGCTTCTCCAATACAATAAATCAGGTGACTCCCTCCCCTCCCCCCACTTTGTAGTACACATTTGTCTGTTTTTTGCATTTATCTAGCATTTGATCTTCTTCTTATGTTTGAAAGTTCCCTGTCTTTTAATTCTTGATTATGAGTAAACCTAGCTTACTCTTACGGAGGCTGAAAGTCTTACCTCTGCCTTTTACTTGCCCATGTAGCCTGAGCCTGGGCATGGGAGCTAGTATTGATTTGCCAATGAGAAGCATCAGCCTTAGATCTTGGATTAAGAGGTAGACAGATGAAGAAGCCGGGGCCATACAGAATGTTTTTCTGGGGGCAAGAATTGGCCGCAGCCAGCACAATTCTGTGTTTCCAGTCCCTGGAGGCAGTGGTGCAGCTGTGGCGTCTCTCATCCATTGCTGATAGACAGTGGTGGACAGGAATGGTGTCCTCGCTGAACTCTTCCTGGGAGAAGGTGGGAGGAGGAAAATGTGTGATGCTGATTGCTCCTGCCTTCTTTGTTTCTGCCCGTTTTCCAAGTCTGGTTCTCTAGTTGGTTGAAAGCTATACAGTATTAGTTTTGTAATTTCTCTCCTTCCTCTCCTCTCCCTCCTTGTAGCCCCTCCTCCCCAAAGGCCTCAAATGTGGAGGATGCTCTTAATCGGGAAGGCAAAGCAACTGGCTCTGTGAATGTCAGTCAGGTACATCCCCTAATATTTCTAGTACTTTCTCAATAGATTCCTGAACAAAGAGGACATGATGACAGGGATGGAGATTTTACAGGGGCTCAAGGACACATTCCCTTTGATTTGAAGAATATGTCCACTAGGGAGCACAGCAGTAACTCCATTGACTTGGAAATTGAAGCTGTCACCTAATCATTTCAGGCTCCTCTTGCCAATGAGCAAATGAGCAACAAAAAAGAGATGAGGTTTTGGTGTTGGTTGAGGTGATCGATTCTGATTGTCAAGAGGAAATAGAGTTGATACTCTCAGTGGTACAGACTTTGAATGGAAGTCCAGGGGATCCTCTATGTTACCTCCTATTCTACTAAGTCAATTAATAGGTTTTGACAACAACCCAATCTATGTAGAATACCTACAGCTCAGACTTCTTACATAATGAGGTCATTATACGTAATAAAGAATCCCATCTGGCTGAGGTTTTGGCCAAACACAACGGGGAAAATGAAATTGGTAGAATAGAGGAGAGAAGTCATAGTGAACAAACACGACTTTGCAGGTAGGACAGAAATGAGGTTGGTGGCACTGACTTAATTTTTTTTTCTTGCTGAAGAACATACATATTCATATATTTGAATTACTCGGTTTTTTTATTTCCACTCTTTCTATCCTACTATTTTATAAGGGATATATTGGTAATTTTAACTTTGAAGTTTACTCTGTCTGTTATAAAATATTGAGATGGTAACAAGACAAAATTAGTGGGAAAAGAATATTACCCAGAACTCCAGGATTTGGAACTAAATTTATTAACCAATTATACTTAGGTCATCTTATTTTGGAGAAGAGGGTAAACATATTTTGGGTGGTAGGGAAGATGGTTACATGGTTGAAATAGAGCCACCTCTTACTTCCTCCCCTCCTAAATATAAATCTATATGTATGTTGGGCATCTAAAGGGAGCACTACATGGGTATTTAGCATACATCTGTTTTAGATGTCTGCAGTCCCTTCCCACATTTGAGAAATGCCCAGAAATGCCAATTACTGGGAAGCAGAGCCTGCTTCCTGCTGTCAGGTACTTCTCTTAGTTGCCTGGGTCTTGCTGCTAGGGAGAAGGCATACATCTTAGGTACTTCTAATCAGAAACTCCTCCCTGGACTGCAGATTGGGAGCTTGTGATCCAATAAACAGGAACTTTAGGGAGCCCATTGTGGGGCAGGCGTGGGCAGCTCAGCAGTGAGAGAAGTATGATGGCACCATCCGGGGTACGAGGAGAAATGCACTAGTGGTGGCCAGTGTTTGGTGATGGTGATGGGAGTGTCCTCGCCATATTCCCCTTGTGGCAAGGTTTAGCTGTACTCTGGCTGCTATTTAACATCCCTGCTTTCTACCCAGTTTGTAAGTTTTGTTCTTCAGCTTTTCCTGAAGAAACTCTAATTTCTATTCTGTCAAAATCCAGCATTGATCTAAGATCCCTAATTGACACAGCCCTCTCATTTATCAGAGACTCCATTTCTCACTTCTCCTTTCCCATCTTTTATCATCTCATCATCAATAACCCCCAACAATAGCTACCAAAACTCATATTTACTCCACAGCCATAATGACTCTGACTAACACGGATACCAATGCTGACATAGTGCTGGGTGATTTGGAATTTATGCTAGACCAGCGCATGCAGCAGTGATAACAGCAATGACAAAACCTTGCTGCTGATTACAGAGATGAAATATTTCTGATTAAAAGATACACAATCTGATGTAGTGAATCCATATTTCAAGTGATGAATTCATATAACTTGAATCAAGCTAATGTTTCAGAAGGTGTCATCTCTCTTCGTAATTATAAAAAGTCAGCATCGTTCAAGAATGTCAAAGAGGCCGGGCCTGGTGGCTCTCGCCTGTAATCCCAGCACTTTGGGAAGCCAAGGCAGGCGGATCATGAGGTCAGGAGTTTGAGACCTCCCCTGGCCAGCATGGTGAAACCCCTTCTCTACTAAAAATTCAAAAAAGTAGCCAGGCATCGTGGTGTGCACCTATAGTTCCAGATACTCAGGAGGCTGAGGCAGGAGAATTGCTTGAGCTGAGATCACGCCACTGCACTCCAGGCTGGGTGACAGAGCAAGACTCTGCAGAAATAATTTTATTATTTCTTGAAAGAACTAGTTGGAGTGAGAGATGGATGAGGCGTGTGCTCTGAGGCAGCTGTAGACTTGTGACCAATTAAATGATGATTTGGGAGTTATGCTTGTTAAGTAAGGCTGGGCTTGGTGACATGTGTGACTGTTGTTCTATCTGAACTAGTCAAGAAAAAACAGAATTTCCCATGGTCCCTGACCCAAGTTTGTGTGAGAGAGAAGATTAAAGGCAAAGTATTTACCAATCCATATATTGGTATTAGGGAGTGAAAGAGCTGAGTCAAAGGTCTGGGTTCCATTATCATCCAGTAGCGGACAAATCACTTCATGTCTCTAGGGCTTAGGTTCCTTATCTGTACTCAATTTTTTTTTTTTAAAGCACCGTATCTTCTGTGTCTCCGAGATCTCTTCAAGTTCTAACATCTTAGAGTCTTGGTTGAAGATTCGGTAAAATGAGTGAAATTACCCTCCCTTCACAGTGATACTATCAGGACCAAATGAGATAACTTAGGTCAAACACTTGTTCACATCAATGGCTCTAAACCCTAGATAGCTCTTACAGATGTCATTATTGTGTAGTTGCCAAGGTTCCTTTTAATGTGTCCTTTTATTTATATGCATGATACTCTCAAAAAGACCAATGTCACTTCTGCCACAGCAGTCAGAGCCCAGGATGTCCTGACCTCAATTTAAGGGTCTGTGTCTGAGTTTAGACCAGATACAGACCCATGCTAGGAATGCAGCTGTTTTCAAGTGCTCATTCTATTTCATGCAGTAAGGCTAAAATATTATGGAAGGAAATGACTAGAATTTTTTTTCAGCATGTGACTTTTTGTATTTATCATCTCTCTCAACTTTGTAGAGATGAGCAGGCAGAAGAAGCAGAAATGAAGCTTGGGGCATAAACTTGGGATTCCACAATGGGGTAGAGAAAGTATATGTTAGGATCTTGGCAGCAGCCAAAAGGGACCATTCTGTGGCCAAGGAACTCATTTGCATGGACCTTGAAGTTGGGATACGTGATAAGATGGAATGAGGGTACCTGATGACCCGTGTACACCAGGCCGATTGGATGAGCAATGCTGGGCAATCTGGGTAGCGTGTCTGCATTTCTCCAGCTGGCACTGGTGGTGACCCCACCCTCCGGTATTGGCAGTTGTGGAGTTTCTCGTTTTTGCTGAAGATGCTTGCATTTGGCTTTCTTGAGTTTTGCTCTGCAGTTCTTGAGCCAGACCTGCAGTACTGTAGGGGGTGCATTTATTTTTGAGGCCATTTTTTTCTGAAGGCTGGAGTTTGGGTATGGATTCTCATCGAATAAGATGTTCAGGTCTTTCAGTTGCTGCTCAGTGAACATGGTTCGTTTCTGTTTGAATGTATCTGGTCTTTGCCTTTAGGAAGATCCTCCAACCCTGGCATCTTCTAATCTAGATGTGTCCCTGGGTTCAGATCCAGGGATAGGACAAATGACTAGATTCTTAACCATAGCCTTCCCTCCTTCTCCTGTGATATTTTCATACATTTATCTTAAAGTGGGGGAATGTTTAATTCTACTGTCTGGTTCTGTTGCTAATTAACATACTTAATAATTTTTAAGAGACTCATCTTCACTTATTTTGTTTCTTTCTTTGTTTTTTAAAGGTAATTCACCTAGAGTTACATAGTGGTTCTTGGGATAGTCATTTGGAATTTGTTAATAGATCTATGTTTTCTATCCTTCAGTAATTGGTTGCATATTAAAAAGGTAACACTTGCTTAAAAAGAACTATTCTGAACAGATTTTCACAATAAATACATGAATACATCCACATTGTAAAAAACTTGAATAATATATAAGCGTAGAGAATAAAAAGTGAAATTTTCTCCTTCTCATCATTCCCTTTACTTTCCCAAGAAATAGCTACTTAGAACAGTTTAGTGTGCGTTATGTCAGACCACTTTCATGTATTGGCATACCATATGTACATATACATCTTCAATCCAATCTGCTCTCTTAACTCTCATCTAGTTTTGTAGCTCAGTAAGACTTGGGTCTGCCGAAAGCAGGGAATAGTAGCATCGGTCTACCTAGCAGAGTGGTATCCTCCTCTGTCTTTGCAGAGCACAAAGAGGAAAGTCTTCTCTGCTGATGCAAAAAGCTTGCAGGAGGAGTATGTCTCTAGAACCTCAGGCAACTTCACTCTTTACCTGGGCCATTCTCTGCTGCCTCATCTTTTTGGTTGGTGCACTGATTCTCTCACTGAGATCCCTCTCATGGTGTGTCTGTGGCAAGAAGCAGGAGCACAGAAGCTGTTCCTGGAGCTTGTGATATAAGCATGGAGAGGACAAGTGAACATTCTCCCTTCTGCTCTAACCTGAAACAAGCAGCTGTAAGTAGTGCTGGGGTACCTCCATTTTTTTTTACGTGGCAAAGAAGGCTGATGACAGAGAGAAGAGAAATAAAAGGACAATGTTTCAGCCTCTCGCTATGTTAAGAAAATAATGAGAGTAGTTTTCAACATTTGTTTGTATCATTTCAACCATTCACAATGTGCTGGCTGGAAGTGATACGCGCCACATCAGAGATACTGCAAATGTGATGATCAAAGATTATGGCTATTTGGCTTTGCTCCTGCAAGCACATGGGCATAGCCACAAGAGTCAGCCCAGCTGCTGTTGCATAATCCTCAGTATCATGCATTCCAGGGACCCATTCCGACCAGTCAATCTATTCTGCTCTTGGAATGATTGTGAATGAAGTTATCATGAAGAGCTATAGAGAGTGATGTTTCTGGGACTGATGTCAGGATATGCTAGCTTGGAGCATCCGTTTACTATCTTGTTCAGCATCAGCAGCCAGGGCAGAACCTACTAAGTAAGGCCTTATCTAGTCATTGTGGAAGAGCCAGGTGGTCTTCACAAGCCAGGCTGAGGCACGATGACCTGTGAGTGCTGTGACGGGTACCAGCTGTGATATAAATGATCCGCCGACAGGGTTTATTTATTTCTCATGTAAGGACATTTTCCATGACCACTAATTAGCTCAAGAATTTAGCTAAGAGTTCTCACTTGACTTACAGACAGCATTTCCAGCTAGCCAAATACCAATTATTCTTTCTGTCACTTGTTTGGTGATTAAGTTTTCCATGGAGACAGTGGATTGAACCAGGGACAGTAACAAATGGAACTAAGTCTTGGTTTATCTGCTGAGCTGTAAATATCTGTCATGTCAATGGGGGGTGGGGGCTGCAGGCAGCAACCTTAAGGCTGAGTAAATGGGCAATGGAAACAGAAAGAAAAGGAGGTTCCCCTACAGCCTGAGAACCCTGCTTCGAAGGACTCTTGCTTTTAATTGAAAGTATTCTGAGATAAATTGTCAGCCATGACAAACACAAAATACCTAATTAAATATCTTTCAGATAATCTGTAAAATATGCATTCTTTCCAATTAAGAGCATGAATAATATATCCAGTTATTGATCAGGATTTCTCTTCTTACCTTGTGCTCTCTCCATTATCTTTGAAACCACTTTTTATTGTTTTTTTTTTTATTGATACATAATAATCGCACATATTTACACGGTTCATGTGATATTTTGATATGTGGCTATAATGTGTAATGATGAAATCAGGGTAACTAGGATCTCTATCTGATCAGGATTTCTGGCTGCTTAGAACTACTGTTCTAAAACTCATCAAATCCCTGACTTTTAAAAATCAAGGTGAAATTCGTGTAACATAAAATTAACTCTTGTAAAGTGAACAATTTTAGTTCTTGTGTAAGGAGATTTTCCATGACCACTAATTAGCTTAAGAATTTAGCTGAGTTCTCACTTGACTTCCAGACATCATTTCCAGTCAGGAACATTTCAGTGGCATTTGGCATAATCACACACAGTATTGTGCAACTGCCACCTCTATATGGTTCCAAAATATTTTTATCACTCAAAACTAAAACTTCATACCCTTTACTGGTATTTCACATTGCTCTCTCCCCCCAGCTTCTGGCAACCATTAACTTGCTTTCTGTCTCAATGGATTTGCATATATTGTATATTTCATAAAAATTGAATTATACTACATGGGACCTTTTGTGCCTGGCTTCTCTCACTTAACATAACTTTTTGACATCCATCCATATGGTAACATGTATAAGTACTTCATTTTGTTTTATGGCTAAATAATGTTTTATCATATGTATGTACCACAATTCATTTATCCATTTATCTAGTCAGGGACATTTGTTACTTCTACTTCGGGCTATTGTAAATAGTGCTATTATAAACATCTATGTACAAGAATTTTTTTGTACATGTTTCTGATTCTTTTGGGCATATGTTTTTCACAGGGGTTGCACCATTTTACATACCCACCAGCAATGTGTGTTCCAGTGTTTCCATTCCCACTCCCAAGCCTTGTGGCAGGCAGCTGTGCACAGGTTCCAGGAGCAGCTTGCATGCGACTTGTGGGAGCCATAGTGGGCATAAAGGATGTTGTCCTCCAAATATCAGGGATCCATGCTCTGACTGCTGATTGCTGCTACTGGGCATGGAGCTACAGGTACAGAAGTGGGCAGTCATTATTGCATACCCTTACACTTTTATTACTGCACAAACTTCCCCACTAGCTGAAGCAACTTGCTGTGGATTTAAAGGGCCAGTGTGTTTTCCCATCTTTCTTTCTTTCCTTTTTTTTTTTTTTCCACTTGGGAGCCAAGTATTTAGAACATTCAAAAGCAACCACATATATGGGGATTTAGAAAGTTGCTGCACATTTCCAGGGAGAGGCACAGGCTCAAAAAATCTGAAGATCTTAAGTTTTCACCTCAAAGTGATTCCCAGCACAGACAGGCCACTACATTTCAAAAACAGAAACAAGCAATCAAACAAAATAGCAAACATTGTGGAAGTGAGGGAATCTGATTTCCAGAGTTACTGCTTTATTAAATCCAAATGTTCAGTTTTCAACAAAAAAGTACAAGGCAAACAAAAAAGCAGAAAAGTATGGCCCATTCAAAGGAAAAAAAAATTAACAAATAGAAACCACACAGTAGGAAGAGCAGATAACAGGTCTCCTAGACAAAGATTTTAAGAGAAACCAAAAAAACTTCTGGAGCTGAAAACATAATAACTGAAATGAAAAATTCACTAGAAGGACTTGAAGGCAGATTTCTGCAGGCCAAAAGAAGAATCAGTAAACTGGAATACAGGAAAACCAAAATAATCACATCTGAAAACAGAAAGAAAAAAGATTAAAGAAAAATGAAGCCTAAGAGATCTATGGGACATCATCAGGTGGACCAATACAAACATTGTGGAAGTCTCAGAAGAATAAAATAGAAAGAAAGAAGTAGAGATGCTCTTTGAAGAAATAATAGCTGATAACTCCCCAGATTTGGTGAGTTTGTAAACATCCGAGAAGCCCAATGAACTCTACATAGGATGAAAATCAAGAGATACACACAAAGAAACATTATAATCAAACTCTTGAAAGACAAAGAAAGAATCTTAGAGCAGTATAAGAGAGGCAACTTGTCACTTACAAATGACTCTCAATAAAAATATCAGCAGATTTCTCATCAGTAACTTTGGAGACCAGAAGAGAGTGAAATGATACAGTCAAATTGCTGAAGTAAAAGAATTGTTAGATCCAAATTCCTTATCTAGCAAAACTGTCCTGTGAGGGAGAAATAAAGACATTCTCAGATAAACCATATCGAAGGGAATTCATTACCATTAGATCTTTCCTGTGACAAATTCTGAAGGGAATCCTGTATGTAGAAATTAAAACTAGGCAGTAGCTCAAAGCTTGGAGTATTGTAACTCCAGTTTATAACTCTACTTTTCTTTTTTTTTTTTTACATGATTTAAGAGGCTAATATATTAAAAAAAAATTATTGCTCTGGGCCAGGCATGGTGGCTCACGCCTGTAATCCCAGCACTTTGAGAGGCTGAGGCAGGCGGATCACTTGAGATTAGGAGTTCAAGACCAGCCTGGACAACATGACGAAACCCCATCTCTATAAAAATACAAAAATTAGCTGGACGTGGTGGTGGGCACCCATAATCTCAGCTATTTGGGAGGCTGAGGCAGGAGAATCACTTGTACTCGGGAGGCAGAGGTTGCAGTAAGCTGAAGACAGAGGTTAGCAAAATGGACTTAAAAACCATGACCAACTATGGGTTGTCTATAAGAGACTTACTTTAGATCCAAAGACACAAATAGGTTGAACATGAGAAAATATAAAACGATCTTACATGCTAATAGTAACCTAAAGGGAGCAGGATTGACTATAGTAATATCTGATAAAATAGATTTTAAATTAAAAAATTCACAAGAGATAAGGCAGGACATCATATATTAATAAACAATTAAATATAGCAAAATGATGGAATAATTATAAACATTTATACACATAATAATCTACAGGTCACATTTGGTAGGCTTTCAGATTAACCATTTGTGAAGATCTTAT